TCGGCCAGCCGGACAACTTCTGCAAAGAGCCACTCACCTTCGAGGTCGTCGACTTCCCCGGTGTCTACCATGCCCCCCTCGGCCAACCGTGCTTCACCAAGTTCATGGCCGTCCCAAACTACACTCACCTCAAGCTCAAGATGCCCGGCCCAAAGGGGGTCATCACAGTCGAGGGCAGCTTCGAGCAAGGCTACTACTATGAGCAAGACTTTGTCGCCTAAGCGGCCATGTTCATCGCCCCCTATGCTCTCGATGGCCTAGGCCACGACGCAAGAAGGGCGCCGGCGGAGGAAGCGTCCAAGATGGCGACGGTGCTCGACCGACTGAGCATCGGCAAGGCGATCAAGACCTCTAGCGGCAGCGGTGGCTCGGCTGGCCCCTCCATCCAGGCGCTCGGCCTCCTAGAAGGGGCTGACCCAATCAAGGTGAGTTTTGACCTTTCCCCATGAGGGAAGGCCATTGCCGAGCCATCTGCCTAGAAGTGATGCCTCCTGAGCCAAGGCCCGCCTACCGACCTCCCTCGCCGGCCTACCTCTCCAACAATAAAAACCAAGATAAGTCCCGTCCTCTCGACCCTCTCGCTTTGCTTACCTTTGTTTACTCTATTCGCTGTATTCCTTGACTCGGGCCATCCCGACGATGGCTCGGATGCTCCAGAGGATCGACTAAGCTACTCACTTGCTGACCTTTACTGAAGGAGGATTGTTGTAGAAGGCCCCCAAGCAAGGCGAGGATAGGAGGGGCGGAGTAGGAGGAGCAGGCGAAAGATCGGCAAGGCGCTAACAGAGCAGCCCCAACCATCGCGTTACCAGCTATATCCTCTTTCCCCTCTCTTGTGTCAATTTAGTTCTAATGGTATCAAGTTCCTTGTCTCCATAGCCTTGTGAGGCTTACAAGGTTGCTTAGATTGCACACATACATGGCACTTACAACCTTTGACTAAGTTAAATTTTGGGATTAAATTCAGATTTGCTAGCCGCGATAGACAACCAAAATTAATGTGACAAAGCCGTGAATGCCAAATATTTGACTCATCGGTGATAATAGCATTGTTCACAACCTTTTTACACACATCATCAAGCAAGGATAAGCGGAACAAGCCTCCGCAATCATAACCTTTACCAACAAATGTTCCATACTTCAACAGTACACATTTATTAGCCTCAAAGACAATTTTATAACCATCTCGACACAGTTGAGAGCCGCTAACTAGATTCTTTATGATGGAGGGGACATGCTGCACGTTCTTCAACAGCACCGTCTTTCCCGAAGTGAACTTCAGAATGACCGTACCAACACCAAGAACACGCGCATGGGACCTGTTCCCCATCAGCAAGGCTCCAGTCCCGCCAGCCTGATAAGAAAAAAACAAAGAAGCATCAGCACACTCAGGTGAATGATAGACTAAAAGAACAGTAGGTAAAGAATTTCCATACCTAGATGTTCCTCCTTTAGCCTCGCTAACAACCATGTTTGTAGCTTTCTCTTCTTGCTTGAATTTGCGGTCTGGGCACATACTTGCCCAGTGCTCATCGCTCCCACAAACAAAGCAACCACCTTTTTTGTTCTTTGTTTTCTTCTTAAAAGTGGTTGTTGATTTGGCTTTGAGTTGTTCTCTTGCTTGTTCTTCTTCTTATTATTATGAGATGCATTATTGTTTTTCCTCTGTACCATATTGGGAGCAGAAGACTCAAGTCCTTTTCACGTGTCTTTTGCTCTTGCTCCCTCCTTAACATTAAGAGACCCAATAAGCTCAACAATGCTAAATTCTTGTCTCTTGTGTTTCAGAGAAGTAGCAAAATCCTTCCAAGAAGGTTGTAGCTTAGCGATTATACCGCCGACCACAAACTTGTCAAGCAACACACAAGAAAACTGTTCGAGTTCCTTAGCCAGCGCCTGTATCTCATGAGCCTGTTCCACTAATGAATGGTTATCAACCATTTTGTAGTCATACAGCTACTCCATGATGTACAACTCACTACCAGCATCGAAAACACTGAATTGAGCATCAAGTGCATCCCATAACTCTTTACCTATCGCGCATATGATGTAATTGTCCTTGTATTTGTTATGAAGTGCACTAATCACAGCGCCTCGAAACAGGTTATCTGCCTCCGCAAACTTTTGCTCATCCTCACAAGCAAGTTGTTCGAGCTTCCCCTGTGCGACATGATAGCAGTTCATAGCAGTCAACCATAGGACCATCTTAGCATGCCATCTCTTGTAATTTGTGCCATCAAAATCATTTGGCTTCAGTGCAGCAGCAAAACCACTAACAGAAAATTGTCTAATATCATGTTTTGGATTATTAGGAATTTAGGTATTTTCATGTTTAATTTAATCTAGAAAAAATAGTAAATTTGTGACAACAAATATGTGCACGTGTGAACTACTAGTGGCAACTATGATGAACATACTGATCATGTTTAAGAGCACAAAAACCTTATTGAACATAGAGATAGTAAGATTAGAAGTATACCTAGCGGAGGGACCCATGCTCAAGGCACCAGTGGCTCCATGCGCACTAGTCGACATATTGCGTTGCTCAATGTTGCGAACCACAGTCGATGCAGGATGATGTTCATAGTGTAATCCCTCGAACGTCCATCGGGAAGTAGACGATCCGAGGAAGAAGAAGAAGACGTCGGCAATCACCAGGAAGAAGCGAGCAGTCGCAGAGACGCTCCCCAAAAACCTGATCGCCCACACACCCGAGCAGGTGTTGCTATGGGGATGGTGGTTCCGGAGGCCTGCTCTCCCAACACTCCATGCGCGCAGAGGATTGGGACAGGGAAACTCGGGAGCAACTCAACAGAAGAACAGTGGTGCTGGAGGTGTTGTGTCTCGTTCGCGCAGCTGAAGGTAAGTGCTCCTTTTTATAAGCATGGAAGGTAGAATATGAAGTGTAGAGGATGAACCTGGACGTCACGAAGCATCATGAAGCGTCCATCAATTACTAGTAACCTCTGCCATAATCATGGGAGTTACTAGTAACCGCAGCCATAACTATGACCGTTACAAGTTCAGCCATCAACTACATCCAGTCCACCATTTTATTGCACCAAGCATCTAATATGGCCTTAGAATTTATTTGATTTAATTATTAAATAAAATATGGGTCATACCCACATTAAATATAACATCCAATTGGTGTTAATGGTTTGAAACCCACCATTTATGAGTGGAGATGGGGTATTCAATGGTGGAGTAGAGCGTAACCAAGTCTTGGGGTGTGTTTGGTTCCCTTGGTTCCCTGCATCTTCTTCGTTCTGGCTAGGTGACTCTTTGGTGCTCCCATGTGGACTAGGAGATTGTGGCAACAATCTGACTCCACGCGGAAAATTGTGATTGTATCTTTGCCTCTCTTTGGTTTTTGCATCACTTCTTGTCTTTCTTGTTTGGTGCAAGTTCCTTTAAGTGACAACTAGAATAGCATGATAAAATGCTTACCCTCGGATTACTTTTTGTTCTCAAGGACCTACACTTTGTGTGAAACTTTCTAAGGACTTGATTAGAACTTCTTAGATTGATTTTGTAGAAGAACTTAGGTATCAAGGTGCTTGAAGGATAGATTCTGCATAAGTTAAGGTTGTTTATTTAATTTTAGAGTCCAATTCACTCCCTCTCTTGGACCATTTGATCCTTACAATTGGTATCACAGCCTCTTTGCTTCATCTAGACTTCACGAACACGAGCAATGGCTCCGAGAGGGAACACACCGCCCAAGTTCAAGGGGAGGGACTTTCTTTATTTGAAACTCCCAATGTTGGCTTACCTTGAAGTCCATCCCTAACATTTGGAGAGTGGCTTCCATCGTGTTCGACACACCCATGAATGCCAAGCAAAACAAGTTGAAAGCTCGTGCTAAGAATGCTACCTTTGAAGACATAGATGAGCAATAAACCTTCGATAGGATCCTAGTTGGGACTTGGCGCATGATGTTTGGCAAGTGCTCATCAACATTAGTGAAGGCATCACCGCCATTCTCAATGACCGATATCATGTGCTTAAGACCAAGCTTGACTCTTTCAAGATGCCCCCAAAAGAACTTTGCAATACATGTATACTAACTTAAATGTTCTTATCGAGGAGATAAACTCTCTTGTCTTGTGCAGCTCACAACCGGAGAAATCAACCAGAAGATACTCATTACTCTCCACAAGCACAAGTATGACATCGTGGTTTCCGGTCTCCATGAGAAGGACCTCGATAAATTGGAGGTGTATCAGCTTGTAAACAAGATTAAGGCCCATGAGATGTCAGTCCATGGAGAAACAAAAGAGGCATCCACGCTTAAAGATCTTGCCTTTGTGGTTAAGACAAGAAAGAAGACTAAGAAAAAGGCCAAGAATATTGCCATCCCTTCATCAAGCTCAAGTGAAGATTCAAGCAATGAAGGGGGAGAGGATGGAGGTCATGCCTTCCTCGTGAGAAGAAGACTTACGAAATGCTCTCAACACTTGCGAAGAAGGGATTCATCTATCATCAAGAAGAACAAGTCCAAGGCCACAAATCCATTAATAAATAGGTATATGAACTGTGGACTTTATCTAATCACTTCTTCTATATCTCAAGTGTCTGATTTTTTGTTGTTCATCTGGTAACATGCAATTTTTTTATTGTTTGGTTATAGAAAAAATGTGAATTATCTCTTTGAGTTATTTTTTAATTATACTAGTTAATTGTATAAGATTAATTTCTTAAAATTTGTAAACATTTAGACACCTGAAATATAGCAACTCCCTTATGTAATTGTACAAATTGAACGAATTGTTGTGAGCTGTACGTGGAACTATTGTATTTATTAGAAACCATCCTCGTTTTGGCATGGCACGCGAGTCTCTCTGTACAAAACTTTAAATTCTACGGTGTCCCTTGTAATTTTCATACTTATTTAGATTCTTTTTACACACTGTGAATTTTGATGTAAAAGAAACGGAAAAATGAGTGCACACTTTATGCATTTCCATGCAACCTTTCAGTCTTGAGCTCGGGGTCCATCACCGCTGCCGCCTGCCGTCGATCAGCTCCAGCGCGGAGTCTACGATGTCGGAGAAGCTCTTACGGTGCTTGCTGATGCCCACGCTTCCTGAGAAAACGTGGTAGCACTCCAGCTCCGACGTGGTGTCGGCGATAGACTCTAGCAGCCGCTGCATGCCCACCTCCGTGAGGAGCTCAACGTACCCGCCGCCGTCATCGCCGCGGCCGCCCGAATTCGTCACCAGCCAGATGACCTGCTGCACCACGAACCGTCGCATTCGCGGGACCCTGATCTCCGGATACCTGTACTGCCCCAGGATGCTCGCCAGCCGCTCCACGTATGCCCGTTCGTCCGCCACGCCGGCGCCGCGCAGCTCGGCGGCAAACTGCTCGCCGTCGATGAACTTGCAGATCACCGTCGTCAGTCCGACGGACACCTCGAGTATTTTATCTCTGTCCACCATGGTGGCCTTCAGCACCGCCGGCAGGGCCCTGGTCACCACGCGCAGCCGCTCCCTCTGCTGTTGCCCCGAGTACGCGCACAGGTTCCGCAGCACCCGCGCCGCGTTCAGGCGCCGTGCGTCGCCGTCCTGCAACGCCGACACGAGCTGGTCCATCACGTCGGCGCGCTTGAGTATCGCCGCGCAGCCGGCCTCGCTCTCCAGCGCCAGCATCGCCAGCGCTTTGCCGGCCTCGCAGCCGAGTTCCGTCTCTTGGGAATTGAAGAACATCGACAGCAGCAGCTTGACGACGCCTCCGGTGGCCACGATGGCCTCCTTGCCGCTGTCGTCCATGGCCAGCCCAGTCAGTACGTCCGTGGCAAGCTTCTGCAGCTCCCTGTGCTGCTGCCCGTACCGCAGTATGTCGCGCAGGTTGCTCACCGTGAACACGTTCTCCGCGACGCTCTCCCGGAGCGCCTTCCCCGTGTTCCCCGTCGTGGACACGAGCATCTTGACCACCTTGAGCGCGCGCTTCACGGCGCTCACCTGCGAGTCGGTCACGTGCGGGTTCCGGAGGAGAACCGGCGACGCCTGCGTGAAGTTGATGACCTTGGCGAGCAGGCCTCGCGCGTTCCCGATCTTGCCGCAGTTGTCGTGGTCCCTGGCGAGCCTCTTGAGGATGAGCAGGCCCAGCAGGTTGAACGGCAGGTGGTCGTAGCCGCGGCTCGCCGGTGAGGCCCCGTGCTTGTCGTCGGCGGGAGCACCGGGCAGCTGCGGGTGCATTCCGGACACGGGCGGACCCCTGCCGGTGTAGAGCAGGGACGTGACGGACTCGATGGCGCCAGGGATGCCGGACACCCGGAGCGCGTTCTGACGCTTGCCGGCGAGCTTGGACACGATCTCGGCGGCGCACCGTCGCACCTCCTCCTCTTCGGGGCGCTTCCAGTTGAGCATCTCGACGAGCCGCTCGATGGACCTCGGGGTGGTGCCGACCTTGCGCAGCGTGTCGCTCGCGGAGCGCTCGCTGTTGGCGAACTGCTGCAGGATGCGCACGGCGATGAGCTGCTCGTCGAGGAAGTCCGAGAGGATGAGCTCCTCCGCGAAGGTGACGAGGTCCATCTTGATGCCGTCGAAGATGCTCCCAGCGATGCACCGCGAGTAGGCGTCATAGAAGAAGCGCTTGAGGGAGACGAGCCCGTACGCGCCCAGCTCGCACTCGTCGCTCACCTGGTGGAGCAGCTTGCAGACGGAGACCTTCCACGTCCAGTACGCCTTCTCGAACAGGAAGAGCAACGCCTCCACGAGCGCCAGCGTGTAGAAGAGCAGGAGCGCCGGCCTCATGTTGCGGCTGTCGTCGGGGTCGCCGAAGTCGTGCTTCCAGAGGCGCATCACCGAGAGCGCGACGCAGGCGAGCGCGGAGAGCACCTGCAGCCAGTTGAGCAGCCTGCCGATCTTCCTGGACACGAAAACCCAGCCGGTGTAGGGGAGCAGCGACACGTCCGGCGCGTGCCAGGCGCGCTGCCTCATGAAGGCGACGATCTGGCGCTGGAACAGCGCGGCCCTGGCGCGCGCGTCGTCGTCGCGCCCGCCGCCGCCTCCGGCGGCCGCGGCAGCCGGATCGACGATGGCGCGCATGATGTGGCGGAAGAAGCGGGAGCTGGAGCGCAACGCGCCGCCCGCGGTGGAGGTCTGCGTGGCGTAGTGCTGCCACTCCAGCTCGTGGCTGCGGCTGATGACGCGCGCGCCCTCGCCGACGAGGATCACGGTGACGCACCAGAAGTCGGTGATGCAGAGCGTGCTCGCGAACCCGCCGAGGAGCACGACGGTGGCCCACACGAAGTCGAGCTTCCCGAGCCCACTCGCCGCTTTCTCGAGCACGGCGAGCCGGAGCGCGAACAGCGTGAGACGCTTCTCGGGCGGCTCCTGCCCGCCGGCCCTTCCGGAGCTGCCGTGGCCGCTCCCGCTGCCCGGCGTCGGCTCGGGCCACGGCTCGAAGAAGGACGCCGAGCCGGGACCTCCGGTGCCGAGCCCGCCGCCGCCGCCGGCGGCAGCGGCGCCACGGTGCTCCATGATGTCCAGCTGGATGCTCGGCGGCACATCGCCACCGCCTTTCTGCGAGCCGCCGTCGCCGTTGGACTCGAGGCGCGTGGCCTCGCGGCTCTTCTTGTACTTCATGGTATACTTAGGCCTTTCTGCGAGCCGCTAGTTTTCATGAATACTCCGTATTTAATACGATCTATTTATAAAAAGATTGGTTTGGACTTTGGTGCTAGCATATATCGACTTAATTAAAACAGAAATGTTATATAATACATATATATTTTAGCAAAAAAAAAAAAAAACTGTAGTCGACGTGACGGAGCGCGTCGTGCGTGCTGCGGTGCGCAGCAGCGACGCCTTTGTTGCCTTGCGCAACGCTACACCACGCCTGTGCCACAGCTTCTGCTAGCCTGCGACAGCAACTGTCAGACCGCAGAGTTCTTGCCAAGCTACACCGGCCTACAGAGGTAACTGCCGACCAGGAACTTTTTTTTTTCTTGCATAGAAAAAAAATTGTTTCTTATGATATGTGGATATGTAATATTGTGATTTGTGATTATCTAGAGGTATAAAAAAAGCTGGAGGTAGAAGAAGACTAGAGGTAGAAAGAGGATGGAAACTGTTGATCTTAATTCTATGATTCAAAAAATTCATGTATTAAAACTATATAAAACACATGGTTGTTGAGTAGACAGACTCTAATTAAAATAGAGAGAAGTAAGATGACAGCATGTTTACGCTTCATTCAGTTGATTATTGCACCATGAGTAGCATTTTCCGCATATAATTCCTTTTTCCTGTCTGAATTAAAGATTATATTTGGACTGACTTGGTCCTCAATAATACAGTACAATGTTGGTTGGATCTTGACTGGCTTTAGAGCTGAAAGCACGTGGATTGACGCTTTACCGTTGCCGTCCTCAGTAATACGGAGTACCATGGTATACGGAGTTCATGGTGGCGCCAGCTCAGACTCAGAGAGGGTCACTGATCCCCAGGAAAGAAAGAAAGGAGAAACGAAGGGGAATCCCGTGACTCAAGTCTCTAACAATGGTGGGGAAATTAAAGGGCGCTGCCTCTTTTTTGCAAGGGCTCAAGAACACGAAGCGAACGGAGATGCAGTTGTGTGACGTTTCTCTCGAGCACCCTTCTCCCTATCACGCTTCGCTCAATTATTTCTGTGGCTTATAAGTCGGCTGATATTGTTTTATTATAAAAAAAAACACTATATCATGATTGATAAGTGTAATAGAACCGACCAAATCATAAGAATATAAGTATAAAAACAATCACCGAAGTGATCAAATTCTTGTACTTAAGCTTCCATAATCCCGATAGTCCGGAAATCATAAAGAATTTCAACCAACTCTCGACATATAAACCAAGACCGTAGTGATTCAACACAACACATCATTCGTTACAACATTTCACAAGTAGCATTCGGATGACATCCATCAGAGTTCAAATAAAATATTACAAACCAAGTTCAAATTTACGGAAGCAACATAGTTTAGTATATAACTTCATAGTTTCAAATACATTGCCAGATCTTAGTCATGTCCCACAAAAGCATCTTCAGATACGAGAACTAGGAGAGACCGCGCCCAATGGTCTAGTCTTCATCCCCAGCCGGAAGAAGGCAATACTTGCAGCAACCAAAGTAGAACTGGTCACCTGCAACAGGTGGGAGATAAACCCTGAGTACGAGAAGGTACTCAGCTAGACTTACCCGACAAAACCAGAAATAAAAGACACCAAGGATCATGCAAGGCTTAAGAGGTGGGCTAGCTTGACACATTTACATAAAAAGAGCTTATGAAGATAGTGACCAATTTAAACTTAGCACCAAGCTTATCATCATTTACCTGTCCACTAGATTAGCACATGTACTAGAGCACTCACTTATTAGGAGCAATCAATATTAACCATAGCAGGTATAATAAGGCTGTCATTATCATATCATCATTTCCAAACCATTATGTTATTTAGTGTATCTACTTTGGAGATAAGCCCGTCAAGTTCTCACTAACCGGGAGAGATGGTGACTCGAATCGAATTACAACTCAGCTGAGGGGGTATTCCTAATTCTCACCGTGGCATACTTTGCAAGGGTAGCCGTGGGTCACCTTTGCAACAACCCAGGAACCAAATTCGCGGGTTCGATCAGCGCCAGCACTCTCAGGGATTACTCTTCTGCCAGGACGATCAGGACTTTTAAATCACCTGCCCTTGGACTCACGCCTATGGCTCCCTTCCGAGGCGCACTTTATACTTATCGACTCCCGTCCTGAGGTGAGCTACTCGGCTTCGTGGTCGGTCTCCAGACCCGGCCAACTAAGAGAGAGGCATACGTTCAATATGAATAGGAAAGGCTTCAAGATTCGGTCCTTAGTTTACACAGACGGAGTCAATGCAAACCGTCAAGCCTCCGTCGGTCTTCATTTCAAATTAAGACTGGTTCTTTTCCACGATAGCAAATATAGCCAACCGTGCCATATGTATCTTCCTATATCTCGTAGGTGACAGGACATCACCTGACTTCTACCGTGTTTAAGCAGGGCTAAGCACTATACGAACCTGAACTACATAGGATTGAGGGTATCAATATCTGGACAAGGATTGGATAATGAATGCAGCAAGTGTTTGCATCCAACACCTAAACTTAATGCAACAATATATATATGTAATAATAATACTTTAACCGCATTTTGGAAATTAGGAGGCTTAATATGCTCCGGGCTTGCCTTTTCATAAAGTTGCACGGACGGTGATCCGGGCACTCAACGGCGACCTCATCTCGGTACTTCTCCAAGGTGCACCTCTGAACCTCCGGTGTGTTGGCTGCCGCTGCTCCTCGCTTGGTTCCTCGAATTCCAAAGAGGTCACTCCTTCCGGTACACCTATTGCATGCCGATGCACAAGATAAACATCATGGATGCATAAGGAATGACATGATGCTCATGATGAATGAATCATAGTAAGTGTTTAACGAAAACATCACTGGACACTCATTTACCGATTAAGAATAGCTCTATTCAAATCACTTTAAAACGTGTATCTAACTTAACTTGAAGAACGAGATCAACTTATCTAACTTGCATAACCTAAGATAAAGATGCTCATCTTCAGTTAAAGACCTAACACCTAGGAACATTACCACAAACTTAGAAATAGTAAAGGCATACTTAAAACAACAGTTAAAGTTTCATATGCACACGGATAGTTTCTTAATTTAATCATAACCAGAGTTCTATAAATTCAAATGACTTGCAAGATGACATTCTAGAAAACTTATGAAATTCTCTACAAAATCATTTGTAAACATCAAAGCATGATTCTTACGTTAACCAAATTAAATTCCAGTAAACCTAGAATCTGTCTAGAAATGATAGGGTTGCTAAATTAAATATTTAGTGATGATGCAAAAGCCTAATTGGACCAAACCAAGTTTACCAACTTGTTGCACATACCAAAGGAATATCAGAAAGTATAGTGCCAACCTCTAAATAAATTATTTAATGTCTTTTCTAATTTATTTAGTTAATTAGGTGATTAAAGCAATATATAGTAAAACTGTTTAGAAAAATCTACAAAAATTACAGTAGCTATCTCATGCTTCACATAGACTACCATAAAAAATTCAAAGCCATTAGGCAAGCAGAACTTGTTGTATCTAAAATAACAGGTGGCATGTCTATTTTTAGCATAATTAGGAAACCCTATTGAAAAGTGTCAAGCAACAGATTTCTCATTTTTTCTAGCATCATTCTAGCATAAGAACAGCACTCACCAAATTTTACCCTTACTGGATCTATAGAAAAATTATGAAAATTCACACAAGACCCATCCATGCAAACAAGAGAATTTTATATCTCCTACATACAGTGTCCAAAATATATGAAAATTTAACTACAAGCTATTCATGATATGAGCAGTACACCATAAAAATTTCATGCCATTTAGAGCTATATAGAAAAATATATAATTACCCCTATTTCTTTCATGATTAAAAGAGATAATTAGCAACTCCATTTTTCATAACAGAACATAGCATAAATTATATTTTTAATAAAAACTAGACATTATCATGAACTCAGCAAAATTAGAACCACATCATTTGAATCTACCAACTAGGAGATACATATTTTTGAATCTATACACCAATCTGTGAAAAGAATAAAACAAAACAATTTGAAACCCTAACTCTACTGCTGGGCCGGCCCGAAAGCACGACGGCCCACGACGCACACGTCCGCAGACACCAGCGCGGCCCAGAAGCACGATGCGGCCCACGGTGGCTCCCGCCTGCGTGCTTCCACTGACAAGGGGACCCCGCACGTCAGCGAGACAGATAGGGGAGGAAGGCAAGACGGCGGCGCAACTCGTCGCCGGTGGTAGCTCCGGCGAGGCCATCGGTGCTACGGTGTTCGCCTCACCCATGCGCATCTAACGGTGATATCAATTGAAGCTATTGCTACGGCTAAAGGGGGTGGCGACGGCCATGGCGGCGCACGGCCACGGCTTGGCCGGCTCCGGCGAGGCCCGACCCCGTAGGGCGCGGATAGGCTCGGTACGAGCTTCCGGAGTTCGCTATCAAGCTACCTAAGCAAGGAAGAGGGGATGGGGAGACCACGGTGGCAGTTGGCCACATGAAGCGCCAACTCCGGCGAGGTCCCACCATAGCGGCGGTGGAAGAAATGGCGAATACGCCCTTACCAAGCCTCAAACGACCCGACTGAAAGGTGGAGGTGGTAGAGGAGATCACGGCAAAGCTAGAGGCAAGATGGCCGACGCATTTTTGCATTGGCACGCGAGTTAGGCGACGGCGACGCCCGATCGGCAATGGCGGAGCTGCTGCTCTGTTGCTGCGGAGCTACGGGTGAGCGGAGGAAATGGAAATGGGACTAGTGAGCTGGTTGACAGGCGTGTTGAGTGAGCTCAAGTCGTGGCCGGCCGTGCTAGGGCATCCGCGGCGCATGGCAGCGCGAGCAGGCGACCGGCGACGAGTGTCACCCACGCGACGTTCGTTGTCTGATGGCTGTCAGTTATTGTAGCTCACATTCAGACAACTGGAACCGCCTGACAGCGTGACTACAACATGTTAATACGGCTAAACCGTTTATCCAATGCAAAAA